GGGGAGGCGGGGCGGGGAGTGGGCGGAGGGTGGCGGCCGGGAGGCGGCGGGTTCGCGGAAACCGCCTCACAACAACATTGAGCAATGCCGGCACGGCCGCCGGCACACAGGGCAGCAGAGCGAGCCGACCATGGAACCGACACCCGACTGAGTTCCTGGAAGAAGGCGCCGCTGCCGGTCCGAACAAGCAGAGATGCGACGGACAAGCGCAAGGAGGAAATATACGCCTGTGCGGTGCTGCCTGCCTGCCGCCGCCGAGACGAGGAGAGTCTTTCACTTCTCTCGCCCACACGATAAAAGCTCGGGTGCGCCACTTTCACGAGCGAATGACAAGCGGATCGCGGACGGACGGCGGCGTCTTGCCGGCGGCGGGGCGTTCTGTCGCGTTCTGCCGCTGGAGCCTGTGCCGTGCGGCTGCAGCGGGGCCGGCGGGGGCGCCACTCAAAGTGTGTCACGTTATGGGAGCGCGACGCCACAACATCCCGTGAGAAATCAAAGCGCGCTGCAGCCCCCCCCGCGGTACCCGGCCGCGTAAACAACCCCCTTCCTCGCGGCACGCAGCGCCAGCCGCGCCGGGCAGACGGGGCTGGCGGCAGCGGGCGGCTCATTCAATGACAGCAACAACAACTTGACGGCTACTTTCACGGCGCACCGCCATGGGCCCTCAAGACTCGCTCACCTGTCGCTTCAGCTTGCCGGCTTTCGTCCCCAACTTGAGGTATCTCGCGAAGGCAGCGAACAAGACTCCCCCCCTCGCTGCGCTCTTCTTTTCCATCCTCAGCATGGGTGCTGCAGGGGTGGTGCGGGCGTGGCGCGGAGTGGCGCGGCCAGTGACCAGGACTGGTCGAGTGGCTTCTTTCTTCACGTTCTTCACCAGTCGTACCAGATGCCGCCGCAGATGATCATCTCGACGTCACGACGATGCACTCTCACAAAACACAACACTGTTTGTCAACACAGGACGCCGTCCAAACGCACAACAACAACACTGCACAGACGACGAAACAGACACTTGCACGTTTCTTGCACGAAAGTCCTAGGCCGGTTCAGTCGCGCTCCGTTTCCGCCACTAGGTTCCCGCCGAAGGAACTGGCGCCAGGGAAGGCAAGGGGAAATTCCCTCCCGCCTCGCGAAGTCGCGAATCGCCACGACAAGTGCAGGAGGTGGCGCTGGGCTGCTGGGTCTCGCGACGGTCGCGGTGCTCGGTGCTCAACGCGGCCGGCTCGGCTCGGCAATGGGGCGGTCCGACCCGACCCGACCCGAGGGGACCCCGCGGAGTCTGGCTGGCGCTCGGCTCGGCGCGGCTCGGCTCTCCCCCACCACGTCGTGCAGCTGCGCTCGGCGCGCTCGGCTCGGCGGCGGCGGGCGGCGGCGGGCTGCGCTCACCAGCGCCCGGCCCCGGTGCACGCGCTACGCGGCTACGCGCAGCGAGGCGCTCCGCCCGGTGTCAATGGCCTCGACCCGACTCCCCTCCCTCCGGCTCCCCTCGTATAGAATGCAGCACAAAACGGAACGGACGAGGAGCCAAAACAAAAAATAAAAGCCGGGACGGCGAGGAGGAGGAGGAGGAGGGCGAGAGAAAAAGGAGCAAAAGGGAGCAGCGGCGGGGCGGCCGCGTGGTTGGTCTTGGAGGAAGGTGGAGGTAGCGGCGATGCAGCAGGGTCTCTTCTTCTTGGCGGGAGTCGGAGTCGGAATCTATTCTCTTGTTCGTCTTCCTCTGAAAGGCAGGCAGCGGGACGAAGCAGCTGCCTTTTCAAAACGATGCCGTGCTTGGCTTGGCCCTCGCCTGGACTGTAGGAGAGGCTTCTCCAGCGGGTATCTACAGCGTGCGCCGAGTTCTACGCCGCCGTCCTTCTCTTCAGGCCGCGTGCGCACAGCGTAACGGTCCACAAAATCAACAACAACAACAACAAAATTGGTCTAATAACAAAATTCGCTAAAGTCAGTGTGGTTACGATCGGCCGACACGTGTGCGCCGCCTGGCGTGGTTCCTGCCAACGCCCATCGAGTGTCTGTCCGAGGTGCGCGGCACAGCACAGCACGGCGGGACCAAACAGGAAGTAAGACGCAAAGGTTCTGCCGCGTCACATTCTGTCCACTTGTCACTCGGCGCCGAGGGGCAGGCGTGCGATGTGGTGAAAGGT